TCCTTCTCCTCCTCCTCATCCTCCGCCTCCTCCTCCTCCGCCTCCTCCCTCTCCTCCTCCTCCTCCTCCTCCTCCTCCTCATCCTCCTTCTCCTCCTTCTCCTCCTCCTCCCCCTCCTCCGCCTTCTCTTCCGCAGGCCTCCCCCGGGAGCCCGAGGCGTCCAGGGGACGTCGGCGCCTCGCCGCGCCAGGTTCAGCGCGAAGGCTCCCTCGTTAGTCCGAGGAGTCCCGCCGCGTCGCCGCGGCCAGCGGCGCAGCGTGAAGGCGCCCCGAGGAGCCCAAGGGGCACGGGGGATGTCGGCGCCTCGCCCCGCCAGGGGCAGCGCCAGGGCTCCCCTGTGAGACCGAGGAGTCTCGCTGCTTCGCCCCCAGCCCAGCGCATTGGTGCCCCCAGGAGCCAGACAAGCGCGGGGAATATGGTTGCCTCGCCCCGCGGAGTGCAGCGCCAAGGCTCTCCCCTGAGCCCGAGGAGTCCCGCTGCATCGCCCAGGCCGGCGCAGCGCAAAGCCCCTCCTGGCAGCCCGAAGCGCGCGGGAGGTCTCGGCGCGTCACCCCGCCAGGTGTTGCGGAGTCTCGATGCTTCGCCCGAGACGGCACAGCGCCAAGGCGCTCCTAGGAGCCCGAGGAGCACGCCAGGAGGTGTCGGCGCGTCGCCCCGCGGGGTGCAGCGCCAAGGCTCTCCTGTGAGCCCGAGACGTCTTGACGCGTCGCCCCGGCCGGTGCAGCGCCAAGGCGCTTCCAAGAGCCAAAGGAGTGCAGCAGATGTCGGCACGTCGCAGCGTGTGGGCCCTCCTGTGAGCCCGTTGGGCTTGGCTGCATCGCCCAGGCCAGCGCAGCGCCCAGGTACTTCTACGAGCCAGAGGAGCGCGGCGGACTTCGGCGCCTCGCTCGCAAGAGGTCTCGCCTCTCTGTCCCGCCAACAGCAGCGGCAAGGCTATCCCATGAGCCCGGGGAGTCTCGCCGCGTCGCCCCTGCCAGCGCAGCGGCAAGCCTCCCCCAGGACCCCCAGGAGCCTGAGGGACGCCGGCACGTCGCACCGCCAGTTACAGCGCGATGGCTTTCCCGTGAGCCCGAGGAGCCTCGCCGATTCGCCCCGGCCTTGGCGGCGCCAAGTTTCTCCCGGGCGGGATCTCGGCGCGTCGCCCCGCCATGTGCAGCGCCAGGAGTCGCCGTCGCCCGTGAGCATCTGGAGCCTCGCCGGGACGCCCCGTTCCGCGCAGCCGCACGCCGCTGCCAGGAGCCCGACGGCTCCAAGGGATCTCGGCGCCTCGTCCCGCCGGGTGCAGCGCGGAGGCTCCCCCAGGAGCCCGAGGAGCAGTGCCGCCGCCTCGCCCGAGCCAGCGCCGTGCCGAGGTTCTCCCGGGAGCCCGAGGGGCGCGGCGGGCTTCGGCCCGCCTCCCCGCCTGGAGGAGCCCGAGGGCTCCCCGGGGAACTCGCCGAGGAGCCTCGCCGAGTCTCTCTCAGCGGCGCGCGAGGAGGCCTCCTCTCCCAGGAGCCCAGGGGGCCGCGGCGCGTTGCCCCGCCACCCCGGGGCGTTTGCGTGGCCGGTGCAGCGGAAGGCCTCCCCCAGGAGCCCGAGGGGCCCTGGGGGCCGCGGCGCGCTGCCGACCCACCTCGACACGTTCCCTTGGCAGGGGCAGTGCGAGGCCTCGCCCGCGAGTCCGCGGCGCGCCGCCGCCTCGCCCCGGAAGGTGTCGCGGCAGGCCTCTCCAAGGAGCCCGACGCAGGCGGCTGCCAAAGTCGCGCGGGAGTTGCTGCGCTGCGTGGACCTCCATCGGGAGGCCATGGTCGCAGAGCTGTTCGCCGCGCTGACCAGCAGCCGCGAGCTGTACATGGGCCCGTCGGAGTTATTGCGCTTCGCTCAGCTGCACGGCTTCGCCGGCAGTGCCTCTACTTGGCCCGAGGAGTACTCCCGGCTCTGCGCCCGCTACGACTTCTCTGGCACGAGGGGGGCAGACTGCGCCCGCTTCGCGCGCATGGTCAACGACGAGCAGGGCGTCGGGTATTGCACGGACAGGAAGTTCGCGAGGGCGCCAATCATACACATACAGATCCTGGCCAGGCCCATCCTCAGCCCAGGCTCGGTGTACATGCCTTCGTGCCCAAGCCAGGAGGGCGTATATGCCGATACTGGAATTTGGGTAGGCCTGGCCAGGATCGGTGCACATTAGATTGTAGTTCAAAATGAGACCCCCCGATCACCACGGGGGTGAGGCAGACTTGCCGAATGGGTGTCGCGACTGGCGGTGAGATTTTGGGGAGCGGCCCGCGGGATTCCCACGGGTTCTGCCGTCGGGGGTGTGGGGGGGGTCATTCTTCACTGAGCGCGTTCCACTCGTCGCAGAGTGCCTACTGGCAAACGTCCGAAAGTCACACGTTCGCTTCGTTGTGGCAGATCGTAAGTCCCCCGCGGCAGATCCAGGGCACTTGCGAGTAGCTACTTTGCGAGTAGTGGAACACGCTTGTCCAACTCCGCCGTCGGGAGTGGATTCCCATGGGTTCTGCCGTCGGGGGTGCGGGGGGGTGTCATTCTGGGTCATGAGTGTGTCGGCGCCCTCAGGCAGCTGCACACCCTCATCAGCCGGACACAGCGCGCGCAGCCCGCGCTCGGGTGGCGGGCGAACGAGGCAGTCCGCGCCGCCGGCGAGCACTCGCGGCAGGTGGCGCTGCGGGCGGAGCTGCGGCGCGTGGAGGACGAGCTCGCCGTGGCAAGGCCCATGACGAGGGTGCAGCTCTTGGGAGGCTCAGTTCCGCATCGGCTCTGGTACGTCCGTGGTAGGGGCCCTCCTGACGCTGGCAGGATCCGTGCCAAGTCCGTGCCTTGATCGACCCACGTCCTGCGCCCGGATTATCGATCCGGCTCGAGTGATGGCGCCCAGTTCGGGTCCGACAGCCCACGCTCGCTCGCACGAAGCCCTCCCAGGAGCTGCCTCCGAAGGTCCAAGCAGAGGCTCGAGTACGCGCGGTGGCGGGCGCGCGCCGCGCAGCAGCGGGCGGCCGCCGCGCCGCGGGCTGGGCGCGGCAGCAGCCCGCGGATCTTTGGTCGACCCCAAAGTGGGCCCAGCGTCAAGGGGCGGTGCAACAGATCTGGTGCAACCTAGTCATGGGGCTGCAATAGATTTGGGGCGTGCCATGCGTGCCAGTCTGGGTTTTCGCCTGCAGTACAGATGCAGTACAAGTTTCTGGCGCAAGACATGTGCGATACAATTGCCCCAAACCTATTGCACCACCCCCTTTCAGCTGGACCCCCCTTTGGGTCAACCAAAGGACCCCCTCGCCCGCGCCGTCGGCCGGCTCTGCCTCACCGTTGCTCGGCGCGGGGGCCGCCAGCGAGCACGCGCCGTGGCGGACCGATGGTCTGCTCGCGGAGCCCGCGGGGAAGGCCTGGCACGCGGCCCGCGCAGCGGAGGCGCGGACGGTAGTCTTAGGTCGGGCATGTTCCCCTTACAGAGGGGTTTTGGGCGAAAATATATTCCAAAGTGGTCAAAAGTAGTCAAATCGTCGCCATACATGTTTGTTCAACCATTTTTGAATATTCTTCCTGTAGAGGGACACGCCCGACTTAACTCTAATCGGGCCAGGCGGGGCGGCTGGACGGCTTCGGCATCGCCCCGGACGAGGCTGGGGCGTGCTACCACGGCCAGTGGGCCGGCGGCCGCCGCCAGGGCCACGGGGTGCTCTCCTTCGCCGAGGTGGAGCACGGGGCAGAATTGCATGAGCATATAGGAGACTGCTGTTTTAGGGTCCGGCGATAACCCGGGTTATCGGGCTTGCCCCTCCTCCTTCCCCCCCAGGATAACCTAACCATGCCGGTTGTGCAGGTCCAGAGGGTGGGGGCGCACGGGCATATGCAGGGCTGCCCACAGCGCGACGGTTAGGTCATCGCCCGGCCCCCTCCTCCCCCCCCCCAGCCGGGATAACCCGGGTTATCGCCGATTCCAAAAAAAGAACAGTCTCCAGGTCCTCGCGGACTTTTTGGGTCGGCGTCTGGCGCCCCCTGGCGGCGCCTCCAAAAATCGGGGAAACGTGCAAAAACAGTCAAACAGTGTCTTGCGACGATTTGTCTTTTTATCTAAACAATGTTTGAATATCTTTTGACTATTTTTGAGTGTTCGCCCAACATGCCCGACCTAACTCTGGCGGCGCCTCTAAGAGTCAGGGAAACGGAAGACTCGAGTACGCCGGAATTCGGGGTTGCATTTTCTTCTGACGAGCGCGTCCTGGATTTTGACGGTCCAGTGTTCGTGGGATGTTTGCAGCGGGAGGTCGCGTCAAATTTTAGATTTGGTTTCGTCATTTTCATGATGGCCCTGTCAGGCCAACCCGAGCCCCCCCCGTTCAGTGAAAGGCCTGAATAAGGAGCACCTACCTTTCAAAAGGGGCTCGGTCGTTCTTTAGGCTTGCGTGCGTCATTTATGGCATATCGTTCCTTACGCGCTCTTCCTTGTAATAAAGGGGGTTCGTTCCTTATTTATCGTTCCTTAGGTCAGGCCGATGACTGTACCCGAGTCTCACGCCTCCCCGAAAGAAGTTCGCGCGGGCCTCGGGCAGTTTGTGTCTTTGCCATGCTTTGGTCTGCCACGAGGGCGTGTACGAGGGCCAGTGGGCGGCCGGCGCGGCGGAGGGACTGGGCGCCGTGTACTTCAGGAACGGCGACAGGTTCATTGGCCGGTGCTCGGGGCGGAGCCCTTGTGTTAAGTCGGGCCTGTCCCTCTACAGGAGGAATATCCCAAAATACTCCCCCAAAAAAGTCAGGAGACAATTTTTCGAGTATGTTAGGTCATTTTGAATAAATTTTGATTATTTTTCATTTTTCACCCAAAATCCGCCTGTAGGGGGACATGCCCGACTTAACCCTCGTGCACTCCTCGCCCTCTGTCGCTCCCCGTCAGCGTCCCTCCTCCCTCGAGCTTCTCCTCGTCCTCATCGCTCCTCTCTCATGCTGCTCATTTTTCCGTGTCTCCCCCATCCGCGCACCATGTTCCCACGTTCTGCCCCTGTCCCATCGCCCTTCTCTCGCATCCCTCCTCCCTCCTCTCTCCCTCCCTCCCTCCCCCCCCTCCCACCCACCCCCGACCTCGTCACTCCTCACCCCTGTTCCCTTCTCGTCCAGATCCTTCTTCCCTTCCTGCTCCCCCTGCTCCTTCTGCTCCATATCCCTCTGCTCCCTTCCTGCTCCCCCTGTTCCCCCGGTTCCTCCCTGCTCCCCCTGTTCCATTTCTCTCTTCCTTTTTTGCTCCCCCTGCTCCTGCCCATCCCCAACCATTCCCCTCCTCCTTCTGCGTTTCTCCCTCCTCGTCAACCCTCCTGTGCTCCCGCCCCCTGTCTCCTCGCATGTCCTCTTTCTCTTTCTTTTGTTGTCAGCTCGTCTCCATCCCTCATTCCTCATTATCCATCCGCCTTCCTCCTCCCAGGCTCAAGGCTCAAGGAATGGCTCAGGGCCAAAGGAAGTTTGCAACGATTGGTACCTACTTTCTCCCATTCGATCTTACTTCCATTCCCCTTACATTACTCTACACTTCACGTTCGAACATAGTTATTCTGCGCGTTCGCCCTCAGAGATTCAACGACGACGGGTACACATTTGCGGGAGCCGGGAACGCCAATGGGAGGTGAGAGGAACGTTCATCGTCGTTGTCTTAGCCCTCCGCACGAGATGGACGACGATGCGCCAGGAGCACAGGTGCACAACATCGCGACGCCAGGCACCCCTCCCGAGGCATGCCCACCAGCGCTCCACGAGATCGCAAGCCTTCTCAGGCAGGAGGTTCAACCTTTGCGCAGTGCGATTGTCAGCCTTGGGAACCGCCTCGACACGAAGATGGCGGCCATGGAGGAACGGATGGAGAACCTCGAGGCCCCCAAGGCCCAGCCCAATGTCAATAATGAGGTAATGGACCATATCACAGCGCTGGGGGTCGAGATAGCCAAATTGAAGAGCGCCGCTGGCTCCATCGGCACCGGCTCCGGGGACACGTACAATCACAAGGATAACGTTGTGGTGATCGGGGGATTGTCGTCGCTCGCGGACTTCGAGGAGGCGAAACAGTGGCTCGCAGACAAGCTGTGGCACCTCTACGCCCCGCAGCCCGATGATATCTTCGTCAAGGGGGACTTTCACGGGATTGTCTTCGCAAAGTTTTGCGGCAAAGCCACCAACGATTCGATTGCTAAGGCGTTCCAGGCATCCCGTTTCATGGAGGGCGGGACCACAATTTGGGCTAAGACCGACAAGGGATTCCTGAACGGGTCATAGCGTCGTTCGTATTCGGGACGAAATTTATTGTGAAGGGTTGGGGGTACACGAGTGAAAGCATTTGGGCGGACCCCCAAAGGGCAAGGTATGGGTGGGGAACGAAGTGGCTGTTCAAGCGACTATTGAACATAATACTCTGAACGTTCGCTTCGGTACTGGTTGGGGGAGTGGTTGCATGAAGGCGGTTTCCCAGGATTTCCAGACGCGGTCAAGGAGCTGTCGGACAAGGTGAGCCGCGTGCCTTCCAAAGGCGTTGGGGACAATGGCGGAAAAGCCAAAGCCAATGGCAAGGGGCCGCACCCGCATTAGGCGCGCCAGCCACGCGCGAGCAGGAATGTTTCACAATTGAGCCCTGTAGGCAACGAGCTCCTTGCTCCAGGCCTCTGGGGAACTCCGGATCTTTTCCCGGCCAGTGGAGAACACCATGGCGAAGCCAGGCTTTCTTTGGCTGCTGCACCGCGAGATGCCGTCTCTGCATGTTGGAACATCGAGGGTTGCATCGCAGCCAAGCAGATCGAGCTGGAGAAAATCATGACCGACCGAGGCATCATGGTCCTCTGCGCGCAGGAGACCTGGACGCCAAAGTCTGGCGCTTTCATCACCGACTCCGGCTTTCTCGTCATCAACTCAGGCGGTCAGGAGGACAGCACGGAAAAGACAGGCGCGGGTTTCATAGTAGCCGCTGGCTCGTGCTTCGGTCGCGGGTTGCTGTCAGGCGACCGCCCCCATGGCATCGCTCAAGCTGCGAGCCTCTGGCGGGGAAGTAGGTCTGTTCCCAGCTTGCGCTCCGCACAGCGGCAAGTGTTTCAACGAGAGGCAACGCTCCTTCCACGAACTGGCAGAATTTGCACAATCACGGTCCGCATATGACCCAGCACTTGCATGTGGTGACTTGAGCGCAAGAATACACGGACGCATGGGCGATGACGCATCTATTCTGGGCACGCATATATTCGCGCATTCTGGGCAAGCGTACGAAGCCGATTCACATCGTTTTCTGTTGGTCGACGCGTGCTCACGGCTCAATGCGCGCATCGATATTCCGCAGGGTGCTTTGGCCGCATGTTGTAATGTGGGATATTCGCCCGGGTGCGAGGTGACTTCGAAGTCGCACTCGCAAATTGATTGTGTTCTTTGCAGCCAAGATTGGCTGGGGAGAGTGGGAAGTCCGGCCGTGCTCGGAGGCTGCGCTGGCCCCCTCATAATTTCCCGCTGCTCGCTCGGCTGGCGGTGGAGGCGGGCAAGCCGCCCCGACTGCGCCGAGACCTGTTGCCATAGACATACAACGGCTGGGCCGCGATCAGGTTCGACGTCGTTTCACGCATCACTTCGTCTGCGCCCTCGAACGTTTTGACGAGCGCCCAGCGGGAGCTGACGACGTGCATCTCCAGTGTTGCCGGCTCTTGGATGCCTTTGACCACTCCGCTGCGCCCTGCGTGCCGCAGCTGGAGGTGGCGCCGCGCAGGCCGTGGATAAGCTCACGAAAGCTGTATCTTATCGCCCGAAGGTCAGGCGCTCGTCGACGCGGGGCGGCCCTGAAGGAGGCGCATCTCGCACGAGAGATCCGAACGTCGGTCGCTCGAGACATATCGACTTGGCTAGAGACTCCTCTAAGAGCGGACGGCGACAGCAAGGGGACTCGGGAAGTCCAGAGGGGCTTCTGTCCGCAGCAAGGGCGCTTGCGGGACGCAAGTGGGAAGCTTGTCGACAGCGACCGCCGCGCCGAGACGCTGGTCGACCACCTCGAGAATATCTCGTGGGCCCTGCGACCCACTGCTGTCGCGGTGGAGGAGGCGCAGCTCAACCCAGAGCCACCCTCTCGCGGTGGACCCATCGATGCCGGAGAAGTGCGCGCTGCCGCCAAGGGCCTCCGCGATGACAGAGCGGCCTGTCGCGACAATCTGCCGCCCGAGCATTGGAAGGCCGTCGCCAGGGAAGGCGAGACCTCCATGGAATGGATCGCGAGATTCTGCCATGCGACGCGGGCAAACACGAAAATTCAAACGGCTCGGCATAAGGCGCGCGTCAAACTGGTGCACGAGAAAGGTGGCCAAGCCGATTGCATCAATTTTTGGCCGATTGGCTCGTTGCCGATCGGCTACGTGTTGTTCGCCGCCATCCTGCTACATCGGCTCGAACAGGCAGGCGCTGGGGACGTCGTCTGGAAGACGCAGTTCGGTTTCAGGTCGGGGCGCGGGACGGCAGATGACATGCTTTTGGCGCATCGCATTTTGGAGGGCGCCTGGGCTACCGAGGGCGGAAAAGTAATGATTTTAGCGCTGGATTGGGCGAAGGCTTTCGACTCTCTATCGCCGCAGGCGCTGGCGACGTCCCTGCGACGATTCGGCTGCCCGACCCACGTCGTCAAGATGATCGCCGCCATGTGCGAATGGGCGCCAGTTCATCGTTGCCGATTTTGGTGCCGACTCCTCCGAGCACGCGCGGGATTACGGCGCGTGCCAGGGTTGCCCTCTTTCGCCGCTTCTGTTTGTGATCGTGATGACGGTTCTTCTCACTGGTGCACATCGCTTACTGGGAAATCGGGTTCCGAATCTGCCATGGGGATCAGCGCGGGACCTCGCATATGCAGACGACGCGCTGCACGTGGACAGCGACCCCGCAATCACCGACGAGCTCACGCGCTGCATCGAGGAGTGCGGAAGGCAGTGCGGCCTGACATTCAATTGGAACAAGCTGTGGCTGATGCGCGTGAGAGTCGATGCAAACGTCATGAACCACGCTGGCATCCCCATTGAGTGCAAGGGCCACTTGATATACATGGGTACTTATCTGTGTGCCGACGGCAGATGCGGATCAGAGCTTAGCCGACGAATAGGGGCCGCAAGCAGAGAATTCCATGTGCTGAATTCAGCGTGGTCACATAATTTCTAGAGCCGCAGACGTGCATTGCACATGTTTGACACATGTGTCGTCTCGAAGCATTTGTACGGTACATTCGCATGTAGCAAAGCTGAGCGGGAAAAAGGCTGGACGCATTCCAGGCGAGTTGCCTCCGCCGTATCTTCCGGGTACCTCATTCATGCGTGAGTCGGATTTCAAATGCCACCGCTCTCAGCATGACAGGTCACGTGTAGCTCAGTGAAAGCGCAATGAAACGTCATATGGCTTTCATGGGGTAATTTGCCCGACGCCCAGATTCTGACCCAGTTCGAAGTTCAATTTTCGAATCAGGTAGTCTATCTCTCCGCCCCCCAAGCGGTCCTCGGAAACGAGGTCGACCGCGACAGTCTTGGGGACACATGGTAATGCGCAGCTGTCTGCTGGCAGCTGGTTCTCCCGCGCGGCTAGCTGCATTCTTTCGCCGAGAGGGCGGATCAGCTCGCGCGTGGGGGGCTACATTGCGCTCGTGGCACAGCTGCCACATCATGCTGGTTTCACCCTGCTCGCGCGCCGGCCGGCGCAAGGCTATTGAACTGAACTGAATTTCCCTGAATTTCTCCCCCTCTTCTTCCTTCCCGCCCCTCTCTCCTACAGCCTTGCCTCCCCCTCCTCCTCCCCCCCTCCTCCTCCTCCTCCTCCACCTCCTCCCCCTCCCCCTCCCCCTCCCCCTCCTCTTCGTTCATCGTTGTCCTCCCGTGTTTTGATTGCATATCTATAGTATCAGTATTGCCTTCCCGCTCCTGTTGCTCTTCCTGCATTGTCTTTCCCCACCTGTGTCCTTGCCCTCCTCCTCCTAGTCTCTGGCTGTCCCTCTTGACTGTTTCCTCCTCTTCATCCTTTTCCC